AAAATTTAAATATCTAGGAAAATTTTTGTCTGAGAGGTTAGGCAACCTTAATAATATTTTGAAGATATATAAATTCCCTGTTAAACACCGGAATAATATACTAGGTGTTCTATTTAAAATAAAGGAGTAACTTGCTTTTAAAAGTGACTATTGTTCCATTTTAATTTTGTCTCACCCTGTATAACTTTTCGAGTCAAATTTCAATTTGGTTTAACATACAATGGTTACCCTAATTAAATATCAGGCTATACAAAGTCAACTAAAATTTAGGGAGCTGTTAGGTTAGGTTAGGTTAACTCTGCATTTTCGAAAAATGTGAAATATGTCAAAATCCTTAGATTTTAGGTATATGCTTCTTTAAACTCACCTTTATTTTATTCCTAGAATCCGAAAATCAATTAAAGGGTGTTCCATTAGAAAAAACACAACTTTGATGTGTAACTTTTTTTGGGGGCACCCTGTATATTCTATATGTTTTTATAAAATGCTTCCAGTTAACCTACATATGCTGCCAAAATTTCATTTCGATATAAACTACTATTCTCCTTGGAGCTTCCGCGGCGTATGGGACGCCTATTATACCCTGTATATTACCCTGTATTATATTGGATCAGGCATTTCATTTCAACACTATTTGTCATAAATTAAAACAATAATTTTGAACAAGTAAGTAGTTTCTTATATCATATAAACGTGAAAAAAAAATGTAAGACCACAAAAGTCTTGCAGGTTTGGTCTTGGTCTTGTGGAAGTCTTGCACTGGTCGGTCTTGGTTTTGGTCTTGAAAATCAAACTCTAGTCTTAGTTAGTCTTATTCTTAAAGATTGCATGGGAGGGGTGAAGTTAATCACCGCAATCTTATTGATCTATTGTGACCCCCTTTCTTGAGTTATAACTCAGCATACAGTCTCAGGGCTTTAACAAAAGCCAGTATCTGAGATGGTTTTACAAAAGTTAGCTTTTATGCCACGAATGGCTGTCGTCTCTGCGCACCCAGTGATGAGGTGTTTCTCCATTTTCCCCACAAAATCTACATTCGCCGTTTTTTCTCAGCTTCAATCTACTGAGGTGTTCATTGAGAAGATTCGTCTCCTGTTAAAAACCCAGTGAAAATCCGAACTGTTCCTACTTAAATCAAGAAAAATCTTTGATTTGTCTCGATCGCAAGTCCTCAGAAATTTGTTCGAGAGTTAAGACTCTACCTAAGGACCTCTGTCTAAGGACCGTTGGAGTCCTCCAGGTAATTGAGTTCCGCTTTAAGTGGGTTTCCACTTAGCAAGCAGACCGGTTTTGGTCCAGTTAGTGGAGTGTTCGCTCCATTTATAGCTAGATCGTTTGCTTTTTCATTGTCTTCTAATCATTGGTGGGCTGGCTACCCAGAGTAGGGAAATTTTCTTTACCTAATTTATTCTCTGTAACCAACTTCGAATTGATGGTTACATCGCTCTTAACGCTACTTAACTTTGGATGATAAGATGGCTATTTTTTGTTTCTGATAGTTATTCCTGTGTAAGATAAGTTATACGCATCTTTCGATAGCGTAAATTTCTGCCTGACGGATGCTGGGGTAGATGCTCTTTCATTCGGAGTATTTAGTTTTCGGTCCAAAAACTCCTACCTCTGTTCTTGTTCCTGATTTGGTTTTGGAAGCATCGTTATACCACGTTTTGGTATGGACTTTTAATTTTTTGTGATAAAATATTATGAAAAATTGTGGAAGTTGTCATATACGATTCGAAGTTGAACTTTAACCTTCAATAATTTTCAAACGAGTCAATTAAATGAAAATTCATATCAGACCTTTTTTGAAGATTATTCAATTTCCTACAAGAATTTGTATTGATTTTTACAAAACGCTGATTTGTTAGAACGCAATAAAATTTAAAAAAAATATATTTCCCCGTGTTATTTAAATACGAAATAGAAAATCACGATGAGACCTCTCTTAATATTAATATTAATATTAAGAGCTCAGACTTTACCAGAATTTGTTTTCATCACCCTGAACGATATTTTGTAACTGAAAAGAAAAAAAAATATTTGTTTTATTGGTGCACATGGTTGGTGGTCATTTATACAAAGTTGTTAATAAAAGTAAATTCAAAATTAGTTACAAATAAATACCTATTTAAATTGCTAAAGAGTTAATACATCTTCAATTTGAATTCTGTGTTTATATAGGTTTTTTCCTAGCTGTGTAAATCAATCGATAAGTCCGTACGATCAAATGACAGCTCTGGTAAACCAAACAAACCATACGTGTTATGTGATAGCTTATGGCAGTAACACGTGCAGGCAGCCGTTGTGAAAATCGTTTATATTCTCTGTAGGATTCGTGAGATTCGATTTTTATTGCCGTACACTGAATAAGACGTTTGATATTTCAAGGAAGATATTTATCACACAAGGTATAGAATAAAGATGCAGAAGATAAAGTGTTTTATAGAAAAAAAATGGTCATGGCCGTTACTGTAATTGCATTTTTTTCAATATTTTTTGTTTTATTTAGTATAGATTTATTTATTTAGATAGAGTGGAGCCGCCAATTCAAGGAAGGCAGTAGAAAACCATCTTGTGTATATTTGCTTAGTACAACCTCTCAAATACTTAGTGCCGTTTCAGACTCAAAACAATAAAATATAGATCCCGTGTACGCACAGACCGAATATGGCAATACAAGAAGAATATATTCAACACTTATAAGAGATGTGTGTTGAAAACCACAAATTGTGTTCCAAGAACTTAAAATCAGGTAAAGCAAGCAGCTCACAAGGAATATATTCCGAAATGTTAAAAAATCGTACGCAGAAATTATTTAGAAGCTTGACATCAATTTTCAATAGGTGCCTAATGTGACATCCTATTCCAAAAGACTGGAAGCTGATTTATATCCTCAATCCATAAAAAAGGCAATAAGCTAGACTGCAGTAACTACTGTCGAATATATCAGTGACGAGCACAATGAGCAGGTTATATGGTAGAATTTTACGTGATCTCATAGAAGAAGATTATAGAAAAAAGGAAGAAGAAGAACAGACTGGTTTTAGAGCAGAAAGGTCGTGTACAGATAACGTGTTCTGTTTAAAACAATTTATAGAAAAAAGATCGGCAAGAAACTTGGACACATTTGTTAGGTTACACACTTAGGACACTTACGGAAAGCATACGACACTGTCTCAATATCCAGACTGGAACAGAGAGTACTGGAACAATCTACTGTTAACAATGCATATATAACAGCTTTTATGGAACTATATAAGAGCGCAAAATAGAGATAGGAAAAAAACCAACAAAGGACTACGTCGAGGTTGTTGCATCTCCCCTACTCTCTTTAAAATATACGTTGCAGTCGTTTTAAAAAAATAGAAAAGAAAGATCCGTGGTATGGGCAATGAATGTTTGTTCACACTTCAATTTGCAAACGATCGAACGAATAGTCGCCAATGACAAAGATGATATGCAATATATGCTAAGAAAACTTATTGAATAATACGGAGAATGGGGCTTGACAGTTAACATAGACAAAACATTTGAACTTGGAAATAGGTCAATAAATTACTCAATGAGTATGAATACCTAGGAGTTACATTTGATAACACTGGAACTGATGATAGAGAAATAGAGAAAAGGATTATCAACGCGAAAAAAATAATCGGATGTCTAAATGGAATCTTATGGAGCAAATCATAAAGAGCAGCCACCTATATGGAGCAGAAACATGGAGAATAACTGAGAAATACAAGAAGAGGATAGAGGAAGAAGGATAGAAGCGAATCAAACGAAGATCAATGGGAATTTCCAGACAAAAACGAATAAGAAATATTACCATAAAACAACAAATGGGTATAGATGGTACAATAACACAGCATATATAGGGGAAAGGCACGGCGGATGATCTGGTACGGACATGTAGAGCGAATGAAGAATACAAGATATCCTAAGAAAATAATCGATTGGCAACCAAAACGCAGAAGAAAACATAGAAGACCGAAACTGGAATGGCAAAAAAGCGTACACAAAGCGATGAGTGAAAGAAACCTGTCAACAGAGGATTGTACGAATAGAACAGGCTGGAAATTGGGTATCGGACAACGTAGAAAAACGTTTTAAACCGAAGAAATAAAATTATATATTTTTTTAAAGTGTACCCATGTATTTAATAAAATTATATAAGAATTCTTGCCATTTAACTGCTGATGTAAAATGACGACTGTGGAATCGACCCAAGCTCACCGGATGATAGAGTAGGGCTCCGAAACAGGTAGTGACAGCAGGTTGATCCACATTATGACAAACACTGCGTGGAATTAAATTTCTATATAAGCAGTTAAATGGCAAGAATTCTTATATAATTTTATTATATATCTATACTGCAAGAAATTTGTTTTCCATTTTATGATTTGGCTTGCCTTGAAAAAAAGCATTTTTTACTATCGATATAGTTGCGCCTTGGTGGTACGAAAGTACTACCATTGCACGCAGGCCGCTATCTCCCGTGCGGGACTTAATATCTAACAGCTACTTTCCGACAAGTCGGATTTAGGTACTCTGCGCTATGTTTGTCATTTTGTGGAATCGATCCAAGCCCACCTGATGATGGAGTAGAGCTCCGAAACCGGTAGTGAGAGCAGGTTGATCCACATTATGACAAACACAGCGTGGAATTAAATTTCTATATCAGCAGTTAAATGGCAAGAATTCTTATATAATGTTATTATATACCTATACTGCAAGAAATTTGTTTCCCATCTTATGTATGTAAACACCGTGAATGTCACTCATTCACAGCCGACTCTTTGTTCTTTATTTTAGAACTTCCTGCATTAATTTTCTCAAATATTAATAATTGTTTTTAGAAATATTGTTATATTAGTTATACGTCAATTTATGATGTAATAATGTATCGAAAAAAAAACCGCTATCGAATATGGCTGGGAAATGACAGTCGATGATAATTTTGGCGTATCGTATATAAAAAAGTCGTACTAGTAGATACTTACTTGGTTCTCGCTACTCAACAGCTTCAACTGATCGTTTATCAAGCTGTATTTTGCTGATTCTTCTTTCCTCAAAGCCCGTTCCTTTTTCAACTCAGGACTCCAAAAGGTCTTGATCGAATGCATCGAGGAGCCTAGTTTCTGATTGGTCAGATCCAGTTCTTTTTTGAGGTTGGCCAAGTCACGTTGGAGATCGGAATTTTGATGCTGGAGTTCTCCAATGAAGGGTTGATGCGATGTTGGAGACTGCCGTGCAGATCGAGTGCTGAAAAAATAATAAGTTTTAACCTAACTTAACCTAAAACAGTAGGAACTTTTTTTGAAATCAGTTAAAGAAATAAAATATACTAACTGACAGGAAAAACGGGCACTTTAAAAATTGAATGTATTTTAAAGTTTAATGTACCGGGTGCGTTTCAAAAGTGGCTCACCCCTCTAACTTTTTTATTTTTTCAGTTAAAAGACTTGGTATGTTAGTATAGGACATAAATTATGATTTATTGACGTATTCAATTGTTTTTGGTCACTTCCTGTTTCATCGGAAATGACTACAACTTTTGATTTTTAAATGGCACCCTCAGTATTTTTTTACTTTATTGGATAGAAAATTTAGCTCAGGGCCGATACATCGTTTTACATGGGTGACCTTCAACAAATTAATAAATTATTAAATTATTATTAGACAAGTTGCAATTTTGCATGGAGCTTCATTTTGTAGATCTTTAAACGTCCTGAAACCCCAGCGATGAACCGTTGAACCCGTCACCCCAAAACTACCCCTACAAGGGGTAAAAATGGCCCTTTTTTTACTTTTTCTTCAATAATTCTAAAACTACAAATTTTAGGAAAAAAAGTCATGAGTAAAAAATTGAAGAGAAGAAAATTTCCTACTGCATAGGTAAAGAGCCAAAATTTTTAGAATTTCAGTGGCGCAGGTGCGAATTCCTTAAATTAGGAGGATGGTTTTAATCAAGGTTGGAAAAAATCATGATTTAAAAAAAAATAAAAAAAATCAGATTTTTTTTATTTAAATCAGATTTTTTTGGTTTAAATCAGATTTTTTGGATTTTAATTCAAAACAATATATAAATCGGATTTCCAAATGACTAGGACTTATTTCCAATTAAAGTCATCCTAAATGGCTAAATCTTTATAACTCTGAGCGATACCGATAACATTAACAATTCTACGGCGCGTGTAATTTTTCCACATCGGTCACCAATATATTCCGCAAAAAAAATCGCTCCCTTCAGATCAAAAGGATTTTTTTTCAAACGTCTCAAAAGTATTAATTTTTGTCATTTTAATAGTTAGGCATAAAAGTAAAGCAATGTTACGCCTAAGGACAAAAGTGCAAAAATATATTATTAAACTGATATTAGGTGTCAAATTCAACGAGTGTACAAATCGTTTCTCGATTACTGTTTGTATTAGTTGCATGTTTGAAATTGATTAAAAAATTATTTGTAATGTTTTAAAAAAATGGTGTTTTATTCGAAGTAAAAATGTACTTTTTGTGCCTCCTTGTAACGTCAGAATAGCTTTACGATGGTCCTCAAAATGTACAGCATTGTCAAAAAAGTATAATTTCTACTCTTAATAAAACAATACACTATTGTTCGGGAATAGTGTTAAGTCGAGAATGAAATTAGTATTATCCTTGGTTATGTATTACCTAATGTCAAAGTGTAAAGTACTTACTGCAAGTCAAAATGTCGGTAAGAATTTGGAAACATACCAACGTTTCAAAAAAAAATATAAAACAACATACATTTTCTGACAACGATTATAGATTTTCGGGAATGAAGACATAGTCGTCTCTATATCAGAAGAACCTAGTTCTGCACCAGTCTGCGAATGATATGTAATCGAACAGCGAATTTTTGTCACTTATATATAAATTTTAAAATAAATCCCTGCGTTTAGCGGTCTTAAAATTCACACAAAATTACTTTTCAAAATCGGTTCAACATTTAAATTGATGAATAATTCACTTTCAAAAATCGGTTCAACATTTAAATTGATGAATAGGTGTTTTTATATAATTTTATAATAAAATTTACAATTATTTTTCGATTTACTATCTGTTATATCTGTTATAGAAATATTTTCTATAGTTTTCTAAGTCAGATTTTTATAACTTTTATAGTTATTTTTTTTATTTATTATCAAGTTTCAATAAAATTAATTTTTTGGTTTAAACCACATGATTAAAATTAAAAAAATCACTTGATTTAAATCACGATTTAAATCATGATTTAAATCATGCCAACCCTGGTTTTAATAACCCACCGTTCTGTGTTTAACTTCAAATGAAAGCATTTTTGAGATAAATCTCGAGACCAAAAAATTTATTAAGATACAAGTTTCTATAAAAACGATCTTTTTAATAAAGGTAAGATAATTTTGTTAAATGTGCGTTTTTTACATTTTAAAAACATTGAATAAGAAAAATTGCAGTTTTACACATAATTTCCCATGAAATCGGTATATTGAAAAATTTACACGTTTAATAATAAAATAAGAAAAACCTTAGCTCAGAAATAGGATAACTTGTCTTAAGAATAGTCCTCATTCACTTCCATATTTGTTGGGTTCGTACATGTAATGCCATTGCATTGGCCAAATGCCATAGTGCAGGTGAGTCCCATTCGCTCACATTTACATGCTTTTTACAGCCTCCCGAAGAGCAATTGCAAACATTTTTCTCTAAAACCTATGTAGGAGCAATGGGGGTGGTCTGAATGTATTGGATTTATCTCTCGATTTTTCAGATTCCAATCCCAATCTTGCGGTGGTAAATTGTTATTTAACCAAGCCTGTACCCTGCGATATTTTCAGATCTGGTTTCTCAATACTATAATTATATAACATACACTATGGTAAAAATCAAAAACAACAGTGAGAGTTGTTTTTGATGGCTATGAAGAGATACAGACCAAAATTGTGGAGCAGAATCGCAGATCTGCAGGTAAAAAATGGTACAAATTGTATCTTTTTCGAATTTATCTGCAGTGAAGGTACCAAAGGCTGATTTTTTGTCAAACAACAGCAACAAAAACAACTTCATTCGTGCGCTCGGAAAACTATTGGTGGAAAATGGAATCAATGTTAAATTCGTTGATGGTGATGCCGATACTCTTATTGTAACTACAGTGGTCGCAATAAGTGACAATTTACCAGAAGGAATCGTAGCAGTAGTTAGCGAAGATACGGACATTATCGTGTTACTGATTCATTATTGCCACAAGAGACTGTTTATGATTCGTCCGGGAAAGGTGTCAAAACCAAATAAAATAATCGACATATCGGCCTTACAACAAAAATTGGGGGATCTAAAGAATGTGATTCTTAGTGTCCACGCTATATATCGTTGTGACACAACGTCTGCTGTGTTCAATAAAGGGAAGATTAATTTAGTAAACACCATTCAGAAGAAAAAGTTGTGAGTTATTAAAAGAATAGGCTACAAAGGAGAAGTTAGAAGAAGTTACATCTCAGTTTTTTATAGCAGCATATGTTAAAAACTCGACAAAAAAAGTAGATTTGGATAGTGCCAGATACATGCTTTATCAACAGTACGTAGCTAAATGAAGTCTTAATACCAACTTCAACTTGGCATCATTACCACCTACCTCCAATAGTGCGAAATATCATGGATTTAAAGTTTTTCATCAGGTAAGTTAAATTTATGTTGCATTCAAATGTTAAACTAAATTCTCATTTTTAACAGGTACAGGCTTGGTTAAATAACAATTTACCACCGCAAAATTGGGGATGGAATCTGAAAAATCGAGAGATGAATCCAATAGGCACATTCGACCAGATCATTGCTCCTACATGGGTTTTAGAGAAAAAATTTTGCAATTGCTCTTCGGGAGGCTGTAAAAAAGCATGTACATGCAAACGAATGGGACTCACATGCACTATGGCACAGGTCAATGCAATGGCCAATGTGGAAGTGAATGAGGAATATCCTTAAGACAAGTTATTCTATTTTCGAGCTAAGGTTTTTCTTATTTTGTTATTAGACATGTAAATTTTTCAATATACCTATTTCATGGGAAGTTATTTGTAAAACTGCAATTTTTCTTATTCAATGTTTTTAAAATGTAAAAAACGCACATATCAAAATATTATCTCCGCCACTGGTAACTTACCTTTATTAAAAAGATCGTTTTTATAGGAACTTGTATCCTAATAAATTATACATTTTTCACTCGTGACTTTTTTTCCTAAAATTTGTAGTTTTAGAGTTATTGAAGAAAAAGTAAAAAATTGGCCATTTTTACCCCTTGTAGGAGTGGTTTTAGGGTGACGGGCTCAACGTTTCATCGCTGAGGTTTCAGGATGTTTATAGATCTACAAAATGAAGCTCCATACCAAATTTCAGCTTGTCTCTAATTTGTTGAACCTCGGCCTGTATAGGCTCTGGGCTAATTACACTTACTTATTCTACGCATTCACACTACACCCAAATTCTTAATAATTAAACTTAAAAAAATCGTATTTTAAATTTCAGTTTAGAGTGTTATGGCTATGTGCTAAGTTAAAATCACTAATTTGTAATCAAGGAGTCCTGGAAAAATAGATTGGATCGTCTAATATTTTTAGTGTCTTGTCCTCGTCGGTTAAAAGATGCCCAACTCATATTTTTAATCATATCTAAATTTTTCTAAATAGAACGAAGGTGGCTCATTAGTATACTTTGAAAAAAGCATTTTTTTATGAATAATTTGATACCACACACTTACTATTTCGAGTCAAATTGTCGTTATGAGGGTGCCACTTAAAAATCAAAAGTTGGAGTCATTTCCGGTGAAACGGGAAGTGACCGACAACAATTGAATACGTCACTCAATCCTAATTTATGTCATATATTGACATACCAAATCTCGTTTTTTTTATCTAAAAAAGTAAAAAAGTTATAGGGGTGAGCCACTTTTGAGATGCACCCGATATATTTTGTTCTAGTTTGGCAGACTCTCATACGAAGCTTTCTGGGTCGTCTAGCATATAAACTATAGTCTCGAGGAAGCGACTGTACTGTACTTCGTGCATCCCTATATCTGTTAGTGACATAATTTTGATCCCTGTTGTCTTCAGTTAAAGCAACTATAGTGGATACAACCTCAGCGGATACTCAACAGTAGAACTATAGCGGATACAACTATAGCGGATACAACAAAGCGGATATTTATTCTTAATCTAAGGATGCAACTTTTGGATATAAAATCATCTCTGCTAAAGTAATTGCCCAACAGACAATAATAATATGATTTTTCACAATAACAGTAATATTATATCATAAACACTATTTCATAGGTCTGTTTACTGGGACCAAAAGCAAAGGCATGGTTTTAATCTAAAAATTACCAAAAAATAAACTGTCGAGAAAAGATAACCACCTAGATGATAAATTTTTTTCAAATTCCTTGCTTTTTTAACACGCTCCACAAGGCGTTTCAAACTTTTACCAAAATAATAACATTTTGGTAAAAGTTAAAGTTAGCACACTTAAGTTTTGGTAACGACTTTACTTTTAACACTGGACGCGCGTTTTGTTAACCAGCCTAGCATCATCAGCAGCTGATGAAAACTGATGGTTAGCTTCAAATTTATGGTTAGCGAAACGAGCGCCCAGTGTTAAAAGCAAAGTGTTTTGGTGTATTGCGGTGAGTTAGTGTTTTATTTTGCTGATGTAACACCAAAGGTTCCAACTCCCAACTGCAATTAATATTTTTTATTTGTTTTGTTGCTGTAATAATAAGTGCATTGTCATTTTTAATAAAATCCAAAAATACTTATATGCGATATATTAAAATTAATTGAGATTTGAAGTTCCGTTCTAATGAGCTTAACTGAGCCATCTATTTCTAGCATCTGTCTATTTCAATATCATACGTGAAAATATACAAATAACAACCTTAAACAATGAAGGCATATAAATTTACTCTAGTTTTAAAGATACTTTATTTTTTTATCTATAATTTTTATATCCTTTTTGGCAAATTTCTTTAGGCAAGTATTTATTATCGAATATTCATTAAACCATAGTATCAATATTTACTTCTTTTAATTCTAAAATTTCTAAGATTTTAATTAATTCGTGGAAAAGAACTGTTTTTAAATTTAAGAAATTAATAAACATGTATTTTTAATAATAAATTTTACAATTTTATTGTTCAATAAAAACGTGGCTGTTAAACAAATAAAAATCGGGATATTGGGGCTTTGTGTGGAGACGCCGGACTTTTTGGATCAAATCGGGACTGTCCCGAAAAATCGGGACGGGTAGTAGCAACCCTGGGTTAATCAGCCATCCGTACCACAAAATTGACAAAAAATCTCACATTTGACTTCACTTAACTATTAGGCGGTGTGATTTGGTTTGGTTTTGATAAAAATCAAATATTTTAATTTTGATTTTTCCGTATTTCTGAGTCAATCTGGTATAACGAGTATATGATAAAATATTATTTTTGTTGGTTCATATGTGGATTATGAGTATACCAATTATTAGTTATCATAATAATAGTTACCTGTAGGGGTCATCTTCGAAATAAAGTGCTCTATCTAAGGAACGATCTCTACGATCTCGAATTGGTAGAAATTCTCTGTCGTGGTCTACTGTAGGGCCTCTATCCAAAGATTGGTAACGGACAGACATTGGGTTTGTGGGCCTAGAAATAAAAAAAATCGTGTTATAAACATTAAATTTATTTAATTGAAAAAAAAAAATAAATCTAACGCCAATAAACAACGCCAAATCCAATACAGCCGTACCATGTTTTTCTCGAAGGTATTAGCGGCACTTTTGACCACCCTGTAATTTCGTTATAGATAAAGCAAGAATATTAATTTTAACTAAATATGAGGACATACTATAGCTGGCTAGATTACCAAAATATCTAGTATTATACCTCATGGTTTATGAACTATCGCTTGTCACATTTCTTTAATTTCGACATTGACTCACTGACACTCTAAAGGCAATTGCTCCAACTATCTAAAATATTATCAGCGTTACAGTATCGCCGGATGATTTATAAAAGTTATTCTTTGTTATTTTAAATGGAACGCCATCCAGTATTTTTGGAAACTACTTTCATATCTGATATTTTTTCTATTACACTAACCTACGTATACCTATTTTTTATACAGACTGAGTCTTAAATAGGTGCAAATATTTTCAGGGCTGGTAGATCTCGATAAAAGAAACATATTTTCTCTTTGCCGTTTTTCAAATAAATCCAAAATAACCGAGTTAGTTTACTTTGAAAATCCCCAAAAAAAAATTTTTTTGCTAAAATTTTGAGAACCACTGGATCATTCCTGGATTTTCTTTTTTGTAAATTTAATCTACTGCCTATGTTGCCATATTATCAACAAATTATATTTTTTAAATGAAAACTAAAAAAAAAAAAATTTTTTTCAAAAAATGCCAAATTGTAAAAAAAAAATTTCGCGAAAAATACTACCCCTAAAAATATTTGCAAAATTGACAAAAACATGATTTTGAATAAGCATTGATAAAATGATGCATTGAGCATGATAAAATCATGGCTTGAACATTTTTAAAGTTGAAATTTGGGTTATAACGAAAGTCGGAAACACAAGTTGTTAGAAAATTAGAAGTAATTTGATATTATCTGACTTTATACACAATAATTCTAACCTTAGGAATTATACTTCTTTAATATTAAGAAACTTCTTTACCCGAGAAAAAAGTAGGAGGATATAAGAAATGAGATCCCATCAAAAACTAATAAATATGAAAAATAGAATACTACTTTTGGAATTTTTTACTGAAAAATATAAAATGTAAAAATACCAAGTCTCGCAATACAATTAAACTGTAAAAAACTTTTTATAGTGGAAGTATTCAAGTTCAAAGTGAATAATATACTAACAGTGACAGCTATTTTAATTCAGAGGGAAATTTACTTTTTTTTTAAATAAAAACCTATTTGACATTGATAAGCCGGATTTGACATTGATTAGCCACATATATTATATAACACCAGGCCACGGGGGTGTCACTTGTATGGGAAAACAGGCAACAGTCAAATTTAAACGTGCCAGGACCAACGACAAAGAAAGCAACATCTGCCAGGCATTGGCTTTCTTTGTCACTCACATTGCTTAAATCATGATTCCGCGGCCATTTTTGTCAACAAAGAGAAGCTGGCCGGGCTGCCTGGCAAGTGATTTAAAACAATTTTGCTTTTTTACAATATTAAATTACCATTTGGATGTATTTAATGCGATTATTCAGTTAACTGGTAAGTCATAAATTACACACAAATACTTTATTCGTAAATACAACTAAGATGTAAACGTATTTTTGTATTTTTAGATTTCAACTTTTGCAATACCCGCCGATAGAACTTGCCTGGCAGCGTACCTGTTTAACTAAACGTATTATTTCCTGATAATAATATCAAAACACGTAAGTACCTGTATAATTTATGATGAAAAATGATTTTGATTATGTTTTATATTATTTAAATACTTTCTAACCTCAAATAATGTAAGATCCTTGTTTATTTCGCACAGCCCCACAGTGTGCTTTTCGTCCCATGGAAAAAATCAAAAATAAGTTAAAATTTACTAATATCTGAATATAATTTTATGCTTATAGCAATGTTCAACCATCCTGTATATTATTTTCATAAACAGCGTTTTGTTAGCAAATATTTTTTCACCAAAAATAAATTTTGCGATTATTATCTCATCAGAGAAAAGAATAACATTCATGGTAGTTCTGTATATTATGGAGTTAAACGGGTACGTACTTAATTGAAAGCCACTATGGATATTGTTAAACAAGGTATGTCCTTTAAATTTATTTCTAAACAAGTTCGTGATTGTTTAGTTTTTATTTATTTTTTAAGATGATTCTTAAATGGGTATAAAAATTTTACGTTTTCAAACTTCAAAAAGGCATTTAAAAAAAACATATCAAAACATATCGTATTTATTGAATATTTTTGTTGCCATATTAATACACTTTTAATTTTTGTATAGTTCACCTGCGTCTGCTTGCGACGAACTTTATTTTATAATACTTTTCAGATGGAGTAAAATTGATAAGCAATGCCGATCTGGCTAATACTTGGCTTGATCATAAGGAAAAGAACTCAAAATTATTTGTATTTCAAAAAATATGTTCTTATTAGATATTGGTGAACCTTCCAGTCAAACGAGACACCACTTGTGCCTGAAAAAGTCCACTATGTTGGAGCGAAACGTCGCATAAAAAAAGTGTCCATCTTTCAATTTATTATAAAATCTCATACCCAAGAAGGAAAAATAATATATGGATATGGTCTATTAAAAGAGGTAACTATTAACATCCGAACCCCTCATACCGACAAAATGAACAGTAACAACGCGAAAAAGAAAGTAACATATTAGAAAATGATGTACAGAAATATCTTATATGTGGAGGATACTTCAACCACCTGTGATTTGGATACTTTAAATTTTGGAAGATTCTGTCAGCAGTGATTCTCTGAATCAGAGTAGTTACGATCTATGCATTTTTTTTTTTTGTTGTCTAAAGTAAATTTAGTATCTTAAGTTTTTTTTTTAATTAAATATAACATTAATGTTTCTTTTTCATTAAAGAAAAACATTTTTATCTTATATTAAGAGGCTTAATTTTGTAGGAATCATGTTCTAATGTTATTTCAATTCTTTTTTATCACAGGAATTTATTTAATATACACTGTTTTCATACTATAACTTATTATTTAGCTTAGATGGAACACAGCTCCAACATTATTATTATTTATAAGATTTTTTTTCGCTTGTGGGACTAAGAACATCATCATTTAGTACAATGAGAGTACTCATCATTTGTCTCAAATAAACCTAGTTTGAATAAATTGCTTACAATAAAAGAGAAGTTTTTGATTTTTGTCCTCTAGAGCCATATGTTCGAAGCACTGTGAGCCCGTTCAAAACTGTATTGTCTTCAAAAAATGTTTATAAAACAAACAATTATTAAAAAAACAATGTCCTTTTAATCTGATTTATACCTCAGAAGGATGCCAGTAAAATTTTATTAAATCAACATTATATTATTTGGCCGTTAATATGCAAAAAGGAGCATATGCCTTAACTTAAATTTTCTTTTACTTCTCCTGACAATGTTCTCTATATTCTCTATTTTGAGGTTAGTAAACTTTTGAACAAGGATGTGCGATATATAAAATACATAATATATCCAGGGTATGATCTGATAAAAGTATTTTTGATGCATTTTTGGTTGTGTGTATGCACGTTGGCTTGGTTTATGTTTTATTCAGCTTATATTTATTTGGAATAACAGTTTTTTTGCCTTTTGAATGGCATGCATTGAGGCTAGATAGTGTTTCATTAGATCATTAAAAGGAATTTAAATTAGTATATATTTTTTGTCATATTAGTGTGTTATCATGATACAGGTAGTTGTATCATAGTGCCTTATGCATGTTATTTACCTATTATATACTTATGTAATATATTATCAGTAATAGATGATAACATACTACTAAATGTCTTTAATAGTATGTTTATCTTTCCAATTCACTAGTTATTTGCAAAATGTATTTTGAACTAATTTAAGTCATTAATTTCTCATCTTTCTTTTTCAGGTTCAGGATATTCTTTTTCATTGTTAAAAAAAATATATATATTTCAATATTATTGTAATATAAATCGCAGCTCTAAAAATAAATGATATTGCTTACTAATGTAATTTATTTACTTTATGAATTTCTGAAAATAATAAGTCTTTATATAATATCATTGATTTGCTGTGTAAAGTTAATAGACATATTTTTTAATACATTAAATTATATTAAAGTAATAAAAATATGTTTATTAACTTTTAAACAGTAAGTCAGTGATACTTATAAAAAATTTTTTTTAAATTTCCTCTTTTTTAAGCCCCGCCCCTCCAATTCCCCTCAATTTAGCTAGTACTGCCAGGCGACACCAGGTGGCGTCTGTTTCCATTTTTTAACATGAAGTTAGCATTTCTTTAATGTACCTATTCTCTGCACCAGGCATTCTGATTATAATTATCCAGTCCACAGGCTTAAATTAACAGTATTAGGACCATATTATTATTGTTTGAAATTGTTTAATAACCTACTCGATTATATAAAACAAATAGATAATATAGTGCCTTTCAAAAATCATTTGTATACATTTTTAATAGATTTGGAACATTATATAATTTAAAGGATTACCTATCTGTAAATTAATGTAAATTATTCATAAAACTAGGTTAAGTTATTTTTGTTTTTGACTCTGTTTCATTTTATGTTATTTAACATACTTTTGAAATAAAGATTATTTATTATTATTATTATTATTATTATACCGGGTGCGTCTCAAAAGTGGCTCACCCCCTATAACTTTTTTATTTTTTTAGATAAAAAAACGAGATTTGGTATGTTAGTATATGACATAAATTAGGACTGAGTGACGTATTCAATTGTTTTTGGCCACTTCCTGTTTCACCGGAAATTACTACAACTTTCGATTTTTAAAAGGTACCCTCGGTATTTTTTTACTTTATTCGATAGAACATGACATTATGAATAGAATGACACATCATATGTCAACTTTTGACGTTTTTGCTAAACTAAAAATCTTATTTTAAATTTCAATCTAGAGTGCAATGGATATGTTAAAATCACTATTTGTGACACTATTTCTTAATCAAAAGGAGCCTTTGAAAAATAAATTAGATCGTCTAATGTTTTTTAGTATCTTGTCCTGGCCAGTTAGAAAAATGCTCCAATCGTATTTTTTTAATTATATCTATTTTTTCAAATGGAACGAGGGTGTTCATTAACATATTTGGAAAATCATTTTTACGAATAATTTGATACCACACTTGGTATTTCGAGTCAAATTTTCGTTATGAACCGCAAGTTATAATTTCAAATAAACCATACGCGAAAATGTTAAAAGTTGACACATGATATGTCATTATATTCAGAATGTTATTTTTATCGAATAAAGTAAAGAAATACCGAAGGTGCTTCATTTACAAATCAAAAGTTGTAGTCATTTCCGCTGAAACAGAAGTGATAGAAAACAATTGAATACGTCAGTCAATCCAATTATGTCATATACTAATATACAATCTCGTTTTTTAAAAGTAAAGTAAAGAGTAGGGTGAAGCAATTTGAGACGCATTGAATATAATAATAATATGTGAATATAGATCTCACAACTGTGAAATATAATGTAAAAACCAAGTCAGTTTATTTTATTTAGTAATTTATTCAACTATTTTGTTTAAAAAGTTGTTTTGTTTGGTTTGGTAGTATGAATATTAGACTTTATATTTATATTTATTTCTGTAATAATTATAATGACTTAGCAGTGCACAGCATCATAATTAAAAAAGAATAATCTACCATTTGCTTACTAAGTAAATCCACAGACTAATCCTAAGTTAGTTTACGTGGTAAATTTAAACAGTTGTTTATTATTCTATTTTACATGTTCTTAGTTGATTTACGTCATATGCTTATTGTTCTATATCGGTTGTCTGTCTCAAGTGCCCCACTGACTACTGATGCTGTAATAAATCCATATATTGTTTATATTTATTACTTATATTTTTTCAGTGTATGTAGAATGTAGAATGTTTAGGAGGGCTAATCACCGCGACCTTTATAGATCTATTGTGTGTTCCCCCTTTCTTGAGTTATAACGAGTTATAACTCATCATACAGCCCTCAGGGCTTTAACAAAGCCAGTATCTGAGACGGCTTTCGGCAACAACGGTCTTCTGCTTGAGGAGCAAGGAGCAAGACCACCTACCTGCTGAGCCTTATCCAACGTCAGAGCTTCAATGTATTATGGACATCGAGTTGGCGAGTCATCAACTCGAGGGAGGATGGTCATGGTCAGGTCCTAACAATAGGAATTGACCTCAAATCCAAGGAGGCAATAGAGAAAGAGGAACATATCCTCTATTATAGATACAGGTCTAAGGAGAGACCAAGTTAAAGAGGTGGAGAAAATAGAGACAGATCCTCCAGCCTCCACCTCAAGGGTTCCTTAGCCAGAGGCAAGCTCCTCGACTGTGAAGAGCGGCACGGAGGGCCACAATCCGAAGATTATTTTTACTTAAATCAAGGAAAACCTTTGATTTTTTTCGGTCGTAAGTTCTGAGGAACTTTTTCGAGTGTCTTAGACCGTTGGAGGACACCCATTCCAAGTTACGGATGGAGTCTTCCAGATTCTTCAGTTCCGCTTTCAGTTGGTTCCCGTTTTTCAGTGTATGCAAAACAATAATGCAAAATTGAACTATCCGTCTTAATTCATTTTAAGCAGAACGGCCCGTTTTGACTGAATAGATAAAATGTTATGTGTAAACGGTGCATTATAAAGCAATTAATATGAAGCAACTCGTTCTAAAAAAAAGTACCTGTAGCTCGTAAAATAAAAAAATTGGCAATTTTGTTTAAGTGCAAGCGTGAAATATGTATTAAGATGTATTTTAAGAAAATAATTTAATCTCTAGAGGGTGACTCAAAAAATGATTTTTTTTAAATGGAACACCCTGTATATTATTACATTTTTGGTTAGGTTAGGCTTAGGCTTTCCACTGTATATTATTACATATTTGGCTTCCTTTCTGATCAGTTTACATAATCTTAAGATCTTTTTAAATAAGTTTTGATAGTTTCAGAGATATCAATAAATAAATAAAAAAAAATCTTTTCATCCTTTTTTAAATTTTTTTTTAAAAATTCAAGAACTGTCCTGAAATTAAAACTATATTAGGTGTTTCTATTTTAGATGGTCTGTACTTACTTTGTTATAAATAGCGTAATCTTAAATCATACAGGGTATTCAAATTTCTGTGCCAAACTGTCTAAAATATAAAATAAATTTTCTTCGTTTTTTTAAATGGAACATCCCGTATATTATTTTTTTAGTAAATGGAAAATTAAAAAATGAACATTTTTTGTATTTAGAGTATTTCAAAATTTTTAACGACTCTGCAGATACTCGCGGTATTATTTCATATGGCTCTTTCAACGGTAAAATACGAGAGAAAAATCATTGTGGCTTTCATAAATGTTTACTATGGAAAATTCCATATTAAAAAATATAAAACCGCGAATATCTGCGAAACCGTTAAAAATAATACTCTAAATAAAAAAAAATCATTTTATAATTCTCCATTTACTAAAAAAATAATATACAGGGTGTTTCATTTAAAAAACGAAGAAAATTTATTTTGTATTTTAGAAAGTTTGACGTAGAATTTTGAACATCCTGTATTATTTAAGATTACGATATTTATAGCAAAGTAAGTACAGACCATCTAACGTAAATACGTAATATAATTTTGATTTTAGGACAGTTCTTGTATTTTAATCATTTTGTTAAGAGAGGCCGAAAAATACATATTTTTTATTTATTTATTAATATCTCTGAAACTATCGAAATATATCTACACATATCTTAGGATTATGTAAAGTGATCTGAAAGGAAGCCAAAAATGTAACAATATACAGGGTGTTTCATCTAAAAAAAATCATCCCGATCCACTAACACTTTTTTGACCCACCCCGTGGAAGTTAAAATATTTTCCTGAAATACATCCTAGTACCAAGTTTTTTATTCTAGGAGCTACAGATGCATGACGCACTTTTGCGGGACACTGTACGTCCTGACAATCCCTCTTGTTGGAAGGATTGCTTATCCTTCTTGTTGGAAGGACGTGCATTGAATTGACTCGATTCCACTAGATCTATCAGCAGGTTTTGGTCTACATAGAAATAAATGAATGAACGTCAGATTAAGGTCCGAAGCACGGGGTATCGGCAGCCGGTCCAATGACTATATTTATTTCGATGTACCAAAAGCTGCCGATAGCCAGGTTGTTTGTCCAATCTGCCCAAAGCCTTAAAGCCAGGTTGATATGGTTAAAGTGTACTTGGATCAAATATATTTGGACGATACTCGCGTCTCACTTGTTTGGATCGTACGAACTGACATAAAATCGATTGATACGACCCAAGTGGCGTCCATATGAGATGCGCAGAGTGGAGAAAAGAAAAGGGAAGCGATAAAAATAATATTGTTTAACTCACCTAGTTGCGCTCCTAGACCTGTGATGCCCCGGCCCCACCGCCATCGGTCTGCCCCTCTCCTCCAGCATCTGCTCCTCCAGGTCCTCGTCCCGATAGTACCCTGTCTGGTAGCCGCCGTAGCCTCCCCCGCCGCCACCCACTCCCACGCCGCCGCCCACCATGCCGCCTCCGCCGCCCACGTGTTCGCTGGGCGAGTTGTTGCCGGAGCGCGACGAACGCAGCGCCTTGCGGTGGCCCAGGGGGCTGCCGGCCCCCGCGTAGCCCGTGGCCCTGGTGGGCGACCGGTCCACGGTGGGCAGCCTCACGCCGCGAGGGGAGCGCGAGCCCCCCACGTACGCGTCGCTACGGGACATCTCATGACATTCTGCAAAGAGAAAAGGTATATTAGAAACTGCAACAAGTCAGTTTTAAAAAGTCTTAAGTCATTTCTAAAAAAAACCTAACCTAACTAAAACCACATAAAATAAAACGGTTCATTTTCAGAACAACTACAAAACACAAAAATACCGGGTGCGCCTCAAAAGTGGCTCACCCCCTATAACTTTTTTATTTTTTCAGTTAAAAAAATGAAATTTGGTATGTTAGTATATGACATAAATTAGGATTGATTGACGTATTCAATTGTTTTCGGTCACTTCCGCTTTCACAGGACTGACAACAACTTTTGATTTTTAAATGGCACCTTCAGTATTTTTTTTACTTTATTCGATAGAAAATAACACTCTGAATAGAATGACATATCATATGTCAACTTTTCACATTTTTCCTTATGGTTTATTTGAAATTATAACTTGCGGTTCATAACGAATATTTGGCTCGAAATATCAAGTGTGTGGTATCAAATTATTCGTAAAAAAAGCTTTTTACAAATATGCTAATGAGCCACCCTCGTTCCATTTGAAAAAATTGAGATATTATTAAAAATACGATTTGTGCATCTTTTAACCGGCCAGGAGAAGACACTAAAAACATTAGACGATCAAATTTATTTTTCCAAGGCTCCTTGATTTAGAATTAGTGTTTTGAACATAGCCATGGCACTCTAGACTGAAATTTAAAATACAATTTTTTATTAAGCGAGAATGTCAAAAATCGACATATGATATTCTATTCAGAATGTCAAGAAGCGAATGTCAAGTCTATCGAAAAAAATCGAAAAATACCAAGGGTGCCATTTAAAAATCAAAAGTTGCAGTCATTTCCGGTGAAACAGGAAGTGACCGAAAACAATTGAATACGTTACAATCAATCCTAATTTATGTCATATACTAACATACCCAATCTCGTTTTTTTATCTAAAAAAATAAAAAAGTTATAGGTGTGAGGTATGAGCCACTTTTGAGACGCACCCGGTATATATTTTTTTAATAAAATTTAACCAATTTTGTACTTTATATGTATGATAAACAATTATTTATGTATGTATATTATGTGTTTATATGACAGATAAGCTATCATCGAATACATGTCTATTAAAATGTGCTGATGTTTTGATCACTATGTAAAGGTGCGTATTCACTTGCAACAAAACACTCTGAACAAACCAAACGCGCCGCGCACCCCAAACAATCTGCAACAAAACATTTTCCGGGAGCGCTCTGAACGACCTGCAACAAAACATTTTGCGCGGAGCGTTCCGCCTCACAATGGATCGAAGCATAGGAAGATAAGGACATTGGCTGTTTTTGAAGAGTTCCAAATTTAAATATTTTTTTACATATTTGTGTTAAAGAGATATTCTAGTCTTGTAAAACACATACAGTATGTCTGTTTGTTATTTACTTATTGAGTATATGAGCACCATTTGAAGTAAACTGAAAAATCATTCAAATGGTAGATAAAGAGTCTTACATTTAATTGTAATTTTAAAATGGATGTAAAAGATATTCGTTTGTTATATATAACGACTTATTAGAAGCGTTCTTGGGCTATAGTATTCGATTGAACTCATTTGTTTTTTATTTATGTCATTAAGACTTAAAAATATAAAGTTTTCTTGAATTACAAAAAAATGTAAGCGGATGTAAGTGGAGATATTACGTGCAATGTAAAGAGCCACCTTTACTAGCACATACTATAAAAAAATTGGCTGCCCCAAAGTGCCACTGCAAAAAATATAATGTTTTTAATGGAAAAATCCTTGAATTTATGCAATGCACGCACAGTGCACCATCAAACAATTTGTAATTTGCCGATATAGGTAATTATATTCGTCGAAGAACATTGGAGTGAACTGAATTACACTACAATACATAAGGCATATAGGTTGAAAGGCCCAGAAATGCTTTCGTTTTGGTATTCGGTATTCGGCAATTGAATTGGTATTCGGCAATTTGTCGAGTTTGCCGTGGACGCGCATCACGCGTTGCTTTGCAGAATATATTTGCAATTTTATTTTAGATTTAGGGAGGAAATGGGTTTGATAGTCGATGTCGTTAAACAGGGATGGGGCACAACTATCGATGGAAACACTGCGAGAAGATTTTTCCGAAACTTCGAAAAGTCATAACAAATTACAGGAATCGATGAATTGATTGCTGGAAAGACTATATACATTACTCCAAGTTATGGTTTCAGGAAAAAAAAAATAAATGCCGAAAAGTTTAATAAATTTGTAAAAGAGACTGCAGAAGAGTTAACCTTCATGGATGGTATTACATGCCATCTTCTCTACACAAAATTTTGATACACGGAGCAAAAATCATCAGCAATTTTTGGTTTCCGATAGGGCATCTGTCTGAAGAGGCCTCAGAGTCTAGGAATAAATATTTTCGAAAATATAGAGAATGCCGTTCAAGAAGGTCTAACAGAACTTTTGCAAATTACATAATCTTTTGTTGTCTTCCGATCCATATATAACTGATATGCGTAGCTGTGATAAAATTCGTAGCGATTTAACAGAGAAAGCAATATCTCTTTTGCTATAATATTTTTGTTTTCTTTTTTATTTAGAGATTAGTTCTTTTGTGAGTCACCCTGTATATTTTGTTAACTATTTGGTACAAAAGGCCATATTAATTTAGATTTAACAGAGAAAGTAATTTCTCATACATATGTTATAATGTTTTGTTTTCTTTTTTGTTTATAGATGAGCTCTTTTTGTAAGACACCCTGTATATTTTTTAAAATATCTGGTATAAAAGGCCATATTAATTTAGATTTAACAGAGAAAGCAATTTCTTTTTTGTTATAATATTTTTGTTTTCTTTTTTGTTTAGATATTAGTTCTTTTTTTGAGACACCCTGTATATTTTGCAAACTATATGGTACAAAATGCCATATTAATTTAGATTTTTGTTGTATTTATTGAAGTCGTACATAAAAAACAGTAAAATAAAAGTATTAATTTCCAAATAAGTCAATGTCCCTATTTTCCTATGCTTCGATCCATTGTGCGCCTGTTTGCGGTGTTCGCTGCGTTCCCACCAGTAATCAGTGTGTGAATCAGTGTTAGTGTGTTTGTCGATAAGGATGCATCTGATATTACCATAGCCGCTGCTGCTTTTTTAATTATAGAGGCATTAGCGGGTAACAAAAAAGAGAAAAAAAGAAAGGACGAAAAATGTGGCTAAGACGCCTCTATTTGCGCCGTCAATATAATATGGCCTTACTTAGTGACCTAGATTATATGCATAAGAAGAATTTAATTAATTATTAATTTAATAAAATTAGCCGCCTTTCAAACTCATCAATTAACTCAAATTTAAACACTTTTCTCTGTTCCACTCCATAACTAGGTACAGTTTAAAAACACCCCAAACACAACGAACGTTCAAAACTGCCGTATCCTCTGAACACCGGCCAACGAACAAATTCTTTTGAGCAAATCCCGTTTACCGACAAGCTTCGGTAAATGTTTGGCGCGTTCGGTTCGGTTCGGCGTAACGTACTGACTACACAAAAGTCTTGTTAAAGCGCACGCGGCGCGTTTGGTTCGTTCGGAGTGTTTTGTTGCAAGTGAATACCCACCTTAATATATCGTTGACATAAGCTAAAAGCTTGAGGATTTTAAGGTACTCTTCAATATATTCGAGATAAATTTCTTTCATTCGTCTTTCGGGGTACATAACGGAGTCGGGGATTCACTTGAAAGACAACAGACTGTAATACGACAAATAATCAAAACCGGTTCCGAAAAACTAACATTTTATTTACTAATGTTATTAAGCATTGTTTTTTTTTATTCTGCTGATTGGTTGCAGCCTAACAGTTAAAAAAAGAATGCTGCTGTTAAAAGCGTATCATAAAAATGTACAAAAATCTGACTTAAGCTTGATTTTCATGCAGCCGTTGTCCGACGATACGATATTAATTTCATTCGTTGTATTTAAAGGCTTCGATTGGTTAACCGTTTCTAACCAATTGAAGCCTTTAAATACAACCAATGAAATTAATATCGTATCAACGTATCGTCGGACAACGGATGCATGAAAATCAAGCTTTAAGCGTTTTATAAAAAGGCTTAAATCATTTTAATGACTTAAGTCTGTTATAAAAAGACTTAAATCTTTTTAATGACTTTAAGTCTTTTCTAAGAAGACTTAAATCTTTATTCCGAAATAGAAAAATATTTAAGTCTTCTTAGAAAAGACTTAAGTCACAGATCATTTTCAAGAAGACTTAAATCTTAAGTCAGCTTTCGAAAATTGACTTAAAATTCATTTGATTTTAAGTCAATTAAAATAATTTAAATAAGAATAAGACTTAATTGCAGCTCTGATTAGAAAATAAGGTGTAGCGGTTTTTTATAACAACTACCACTGCGAATGGCAGCTTTTCATCGGAGAGCAGTCGTGGGTAAGGTATTTCACTAGAGAGAGAACTAATCAATAACAATTAACAAAAAAATACAGATATTGGGCGCCAGGCATGTACAGAGAAAGAAAACACAGTTGTATATTACTTAAAACTAATGACTATATTTATTCATGATGTTATTTGCTGGTACAGGACATTGTAGAGTTCTAGTAAATATATAGTGGTTATATGTCAACGAAAGTGGTGTTAAGAATTGTACTAAATATCTATGAAAACAACTATGATAAAATACAAGACATGTAAAGTTTAAGAGAATATATGAAATGTAGCATTACTTTAATTAATTTGATATATTTTATATGATGTAGTGCAATAATAATATCTATAAAAAAGTAATACTATTACAAGGCGTAATGTAATGAAACCTAAAAATCTAAATCATATTGTAACTACTAAATCGACATAAATGTTCTTAATAATCTAACCACTAAATATAGTCTGTACGATATCGTTTAAAATGTACGTTAAGTTAAGACTGAAAATCGACTGAAAACTAGAACCTAAATCTACACTTAGCTGTTCTTGAGGCAATCCTGTTTCAAAGAG